ATCCTCTTAACCTTCCCACGCTCCTGCTGGGGGCTAAGGAAATGCTTATCTCCCCGAGCGCCGCCTTCACCAAACCATTCCATCACAGCCGGGTGGTGTATATGCTTTAAATTAGGCCTCGGCCATCATCGTTTTTCTTCACCCTATGTTGCTTTCTTAGCAAAATCACAACCCAGATCTCCAGATAATTTATAAAGAAAAAAGCTTCCCCTCCCATCTAAGGAGCCACCAAACTTCATATTTGTTCAAAACGAACCCCTTTCTAATCAGTCTTTTAAAATTCCTAGAGGCCTTAGAGGCAAAATATTTGTTGGATTCTCCTTTCACTTTGGCCTTGTTGCATTTTCTGTCAAGGTACCTTTTCTTCCTTGATTGTATCTATAGAAATCAGTAACCCAGTAAATGGAATCATGAGAAGAGGAGCAAAGTCAAAATGTTGAATAACTTTTGGGATTAAATTAAAGTTAAATTTTAAAAAAATTATCATCGTTATGGCCTCCATACACATGCTGTCTCGTTTTCTCTCCCTCTCTCTCTCTCCCCCTTTGCTCAGTGGTTTCTTCTGAAGTTATTAAAGTTACTAAACAGAACTGAGAAGAGCATAGTTCAAATACTTCTACTATTTGATAATCAGAAGCTTGTAAATCTCTTCTGGAAAAAAAAAACCACAAATCAAATATTTATTCTATTTACCAAATGCCCAGCAGTAGACTTTAAAAGAAGAAATAGCAAATGGAAAGACTTTTTTTTCACTGACTCACTCAAGCACCAGTTGTTGATTATAGTTTTATTTAATTGAGGAGGGGTTGAGTAATGACATAATTAATTTTCTTTGGAAAGGGCCTCTTCTCAACTGGTTTAAGATTGCAGTCCTACATTTCCAGACAACAGTTGCACGCACACTTGCCTTTGGCTGAACACTGTGAAGCTCTGTATAAACATGCATACGTTTATGCTGCTGATGCCCTTACCTATAGCCCCCTGCTAAAGACACATGTTTCTGAGAAGTCATGCATAAGATTATGTTACAGAGGCACCTGTTCCACTGCAAAACTAACCAGGTTCAGTGTTATAGTTGTTTTGGTGGAAGTCAGCTACGAGCGACATTGACTGTTTTCTCATGGTATCATTAGTAAGTCACCTGACTTCCAATTAGTTTGCATTTCAACAAATTCACATTAAAATAACAGCCAATAGCAGTCGCGATCAATCAGACCAGAAGCCTGACTAGTCCAACATTCTCTTCTAGTCCAACATTCCCATGGCAAATAGGATATATAAACATCTTCCTTGTGATTCCCAGCAATTGGTATTAAGAAACATGTTGCTATTCATTTGCAAAAGAGAGAGAGAAAGAAAGAAAAAGAGAGAACAAGTGTAGCATAAAGGTCAGAAGACTTCTCCAGGAGTTCTGTTGAATATGTGGCAGTCTAAACTGATTGTAAAGTGGGGCATAAATAGATGTGGCCATTGCTTTATCCAACCTTCCCCAATTCCAGTGGGAGATCTGAAAAGAAGCTATATTTATAATGACTTGAATGTAAATGCAGTTGTCTCCCTAATCCTAGACCCGAATAAAGCAGATTCTTTGGTTGACAATGTCCCAAGTTCTGTCACTGGCATCACTAGGTATAGTAAGAAGAAATAAAAAACTTGCTCAAAACCTTGAAAAAGTCAATGTAAACAACACTCTGTGCTGAATTGGAAAGGTGATCTGATGTGGTCACTTCCTGGATTCTGAACTGGTTTGCACAAAGTGTCAACTTAAATCAAACAGAGATCCTTAAATAGGACTTCTTGCAAAATTGTATATATAAAACTAGTCATTATTCAAGGAAAAGATTACGGCCCAGAAAAGGAAAAACACCTGTGATTATATTTAGAGGATATATCATTTGTGAAAACATTTCATTATGAACAGATTGTGAATTTTAAAGATCATTAATTCCAAAGAACATGATGGCCCTGTAGTTCTCTTTGGCTGTCAAGTTCTTACATACCTATTTCGGCATACTTTGTAAAGGTGTTCCAGAAATACCGAGCACTCCCACTTCATTTCCAAGAAGGAAACAAAAAAAACCTTAATCTGAGGATGTTGAACTCTTTCATTACCCACCCAACAGGCACACACCCACTGAATGCCAATGAGCAAGGATCACTGTCAAGAAAGGCAAAGCTCCCCCTTACTGGGAAGTTATCAGATGGGTTCTTCAAGGTGGAGAGAGCAGGAATATGCATTGAAAAATATAAACAATCAAGATGAAGCTTCCACATTGGTAGAACAGGGTATTATTTCAAAAGCCATAGTGTTATCTGTGTTGCTTTGTTTTGCTTGTAAACTGCAGGTTCTTTGCATGGGAAATACAGTTGCAACTACAGTATAGTTGTAGTTTCTATAAAATACTCCAAAAATAATAGCTTGTAGAAAATTCACATACACAAACTCCTTTCTGTACAAGACAATACTCTAAACTGAACCAGCCAGAGGCTGCGCTTCAAGTCTATGCTTAGCCGTGGAATTATATTTTGTACCGTCGTTTTTGTAAACCCAATTTTACTTTCCAGAGTTGTTAGAGTAAATCAATGTATGTAGCCTTGAGCTCCTAGAAGAAAGGTAGGATAAAAATGCAATTAAGAAAAAAATCTGTCTTCACTGAGCTGCAGCTAGTTCTGAGTGCAGAGGATGGCTGCTCTAGTGACATTATCTAAGTTGCTTCTGGCCACAAAAAAACAAAAGAAAGAAAGATCTGGGAGTGGCCAGCACCTTGAAGATGCTCCCATATGTTAACATCTTACTGATCATCAACGTCTTGGAAGATATTATTTGTGTATGTGTTTGGTTTTATTCTATTTTTACTGTATTTTTATATTGTTTCTAATTATATTTTAATTAATACTTATTGTTGTTTTATTGTGAACCGCCCAGAGTCACTTCTTTGTGAGATGGGCGGTATCTAAATTTGAAATATAAATAAATAAATAAATACATAAATACATAAATACATAAATAAAATTTAAATCCATCTCTTCCCATAAATTAGAGATTTTTAGCAGTTCACCAGACTTTCATGTTGCTTTCTCATGTGAAAACTGTCTATTATTATGTCACTTGTGAAAATGATCATGGAAAACAGAAACTCTGTTCCCCTGAGTTGCCCCTTTTTTATGCCTGAGTGCAGCCACTGTTACCATACTCAGTGGGTTCCTCTGTGCCACCGTGGACTTGCATTGCCCACATTCTGTAATGGTTTCTGAAACAATATTGTAAAGAAGTCATTATCTCACAGGCTTTCCATTCTCTTGCTTGCTTCATTTTTATTATAAGCTGTCAGCCCCACTAGGTAGACCAGACCAAGAAATCAACTCCACGAGAAGGCTAAAACTGCTTTTCTTGAGATTGGCTATGATAATAAAATCTTGCAATACCCCTTCCCCTTTTTATGCTTCAGTGAAT